AAGTAAGCTCAACTGAAAGTGATTTTAATATCAAAACATCTAATTAGGAATTTATTTCGATTCTAATCATGGAACAAAACTTCCATCATTGATTATATTATTATTATCTGGGTTAAACCCTTTTTTTACTATTCAAAAAAAGGCATAACTTTTCTAAAGCAGAATAGCACTAATATTTTTTTTCTTTTTTCTTTGAATATTCGAAAAAGTTTTTGCACTAATTATATTAATGGCTGATTATTGGGCCGTGGCCACCTTATGAGGAGGTGGCTCAAGGGATAAATCGCTTACCTCCCAATAAGGAAACGGGTTCGAATGCCTGCGATGGTTGGTTGATACGAATTTCGCAGCAGACTGTCACCAACCACAGTGCTGACGTAATCTCCTCAGTGGTAAACGGACCATGGATTACAGTCCCCTTGCTGTCAGGCTAAGCATGGAATGCCTTAGTGTTTTTACTCTCCATGTCATGCAAATGCTGGTTAATTCCTTCAAAACATCCTCCACGAAGGCAAATTACTCCCAATATTTGAACCAAGAGTTCCCTTAACTTCTGTTCAAAATAACAAGGCTTCCGTGTTAAACATTGGTAGTCGTAAGCCCTAAATTGGGTCTGCTGTTCAAAACGGTTATAAAATTACTGATTTATGAAGTTTTCAAAGTAGCTAATATTTCCACCATTTCTACCCTAGCCTCACAAATGCATACATCATAGATAAAATTCGTTCAAGAAAACATAGTAACTCGTTCCGTGTTACAATGACATTGAATGTTGCTCAAGATAGGTATAAACGTGAGATTTGCATTCATAGCATGTGAAAAAACATTTATTTTTATGTAAACGAATGTTGAAATTTGAAAATAAATTATAAAAATCAGATATGATTTAAATATAAGTTTAAATTGGTAACTCTAGTGCAGATGAAGGTCAATGCATTAAACTTTCAAAAACATATTAAGTCAGCGATTCTCAACCTGTGGGGCGCGCCCCCCTAGGGTGGCGCGAGCACACTAGTGGGGTGGCGCGAGAATATTCAAGAGAAAATATCATTTAAAAAAATTGATTAACTGGATGAAAGGAAAGCGCACATACTAATAGAAAACAAAATATATTTCGACATATTTAATAACTTATTAAAGTGAAACAACTTACTAAATCGAAACTTAAGGTGCTTTGAGGATTTTTCCTAATTTTCTGATTAAGTCTGTGTGGCTGAATTTTTTTCTGTAACCTCTTACATCTATCTCTAATATATACCACGTATACTTTTAATTGTAAAATAAAATTTCATTTATTTTGTAGTACAATTTCAAAATTGTAGCTTATGCGCCTAAGGTTTTCCACAGGTTCCAAAGGTGAGCCATATATTGAACTCACTTTTTCACTTACTCAAATTATCTTCAGCAAAAACACTTGGACTAGCAAACGTCTTTTAAAAAAGCACTTTAAGTGTTTTGCTGGTAGGAACAAGTTTCCCGACTTTAAAAAATATATTTGTTTTTAGAGTGCATAATTTGTTTATTGATTTTACATTGATAGTCCTTGTGTGAAGTCACTAGCGATTCCTTTGAGTTAACTCATTAGAATTAATTAAGAATTACCAAGTTAATTTTTTCAAAAGGATTAACTAACAAGTAAGAGTTAAATAACCATACTAGAGTTAACTTACCTAACCCATAACTAGTATAAAAATACCCAAATTTACAAGAAAATATCAGAATCGACCACGAAAACACTCATAACTACCACAAAAATAAAAAAATACCTGAAAAATAACTTAAAAATGCAAACAAAACAAAAAACTTGAAACAAAATATTGCAAACTCTACTAAAGTGCAAAAAAAGTCAAAATATTATAAAAATTTAAAAAATACCAAAGTTTCACATTTGNATAAATTTTATTTATTGCGCATAAGCTGCAAGTAAATAGAACTCATCAAATAAGTTAAAAATGTAGAGAAAACAAGGAAAAGATTACAGAACAATGAAAAAAGAGGAAAAAAAGAAAAATGATAATAAAAATAAAAATAAAAAAATCCGGAAAAAAAGGACAAAAATTTTAAAAATCCAGAAAATGAAAGATATAATCTTTTCATTAGCTCCCACGATTATATCCACAAAAAGGAGTGCTTTCTAATATTGCATCAATATAGCCAAAGCAATATAATAGCGTGAGAAGCACAATATATATATATATATATAAAATACGCTCAACTGAGGGTGATTTTTACATCAAAACATCTAATTTGTAACTTATTTCGATTCTAATCATAGAGCAAGACTTCCATCATTGATTTATTATTATCTGGGTTAAACCTATTTTTCACCACGTAAAAAAAATGCCAAACTTTTCCGAAGCAGAATAGCATTAATATTTTTTGTCCTTTTTTTTAAAAATATTCGAAATTTTTCTCGCACTAATTATATTAATGACTGATTTATGAGCCGTGGTGGCTCAGGCTACAGAGCGCTCGCCTCCTAATGATGTGAACTGGGTTCGAAACCCAGCGATGGCTGGTCTATATGGATTCCGATACCGGCTCGCACCAACCACAGAGCTGACGTAATATCCTCAGTGGCAGACGGATTATGGATTACAGTTCCTTTTCTGTCAGGCTAACCATGGGATGATTTAGTATTTTTTATCTCCATGTAACGCAAATGCTGGTTAGTTCCCTGAAGTCCTCCACGAAGGCAAATTTCTCCCAATACTTGATCCAGGAGTTCCCTTGTTTTTTGGATAAGGTTAAAAACTACAAGGCTACGAAGTTGAACATTAGTAGTCGTAAACCCTGAATTGGGTCAGCTGTTCAATGACTGCTTTATGAAGTCTTCAAGGTTGACCACTTCCACTGTGGGCTCACAAATGCATAGATAGATAAAACTCATTCAAGAAAACATAGTAACTCGTTCCGTATTGCAATTGCGTGGAATTTTGCTCGAGGTGACTAAAAACATGAGATTTGTATGCATAACATGTAAACAAACATTTATTTTTATGTAAACGAATGTAAAATATAAAATTGAATTATAAAAATCAGAAATTATTAAAATACAAGTCAAGATTCCTAATTCTAGTAGAGGTGAAGGCTATTATGCATTAAACTTCCACAAACATGTTAATTTACGGCGAGTTGATTTTTAGAATACTACTTTAGGAGATATTAGTAACTTCATCACCTATTGAAAACTTTCAGAGTATGAGAGATGAGTTCTTAACATTCTATTTAATGATGTTAAATAATTGAATATTTGCTGTTTGTGTCAGGCGTAGTATTAGGGTATAAGTAAAAGTTAGTTTTTAACAAGAACACATGCTATGAAATTAATAAAACCGAAGAACTCAAATTGACGGGCTTATAAATATGGTATAGGCCTTTGTATCGAGATATTATTTTAACCTAGTTTTTAAATAAGAAAATTTAAAATTAATAAACATGTTTTATAAATTTGTTTTTTGATTTCACTATATATTCAGAACCTGATTTTTTAAGTTAAATAAAGTAACACTTTTCACTTTTTCTTTCCTAAAACGTTTTATTTAATCCTTACTTTTTTCCATTGCATTTCTTATTTATTTTCTGTTAAAAAACTTACAACAAAACTTTTTACTTAATACCGGAAAGAGAGTGAGATGATGAGTGTTGAGCAAGACTTTAGTAGAAAAACATGACAAAAAGTAGCTCATGTTTTTCCTCTAAGTTTAGAACCACTCCTCAATTTGATATATTACCATATTATATCATTTGTATATTACCATTTTAATTAATCCAATTTTATGACCCATAAGACAGTTTAAAGTGTTAAAAAACACTATTTTATAAAATGTTTGTTAAAATATCTGACACTGATTTTTCAATGTTAAATAAAATGTCCCATTGTTCATTTAATGATTAGCTCTTTCATAAAGTTTTTCTTATTTATTTTTTATCATAAAATTATCTTTCTCATAATCGTATGTCTAATCCAACAAAGAGTGAATGCGAACGTAAGTCCTTAGTAGAACAACATGTTTATTGAAACTTTTAAAAAAAATCTCAAATTTTCGAGTTCAGTTTTGTTACAGAACATATTTTCAGGAAATAAAGCTTGAAAAGCATAAAAAATGGATATATGAGATAGATATCTGTTGTTTCTAAACATTCCAAAGCAGATTTTCTTAAGCCAAATAAAATGTCTCAATTAAAATAAAATGTCCTCTTTTCTCATTTTTAAGCTCTTTCAATAATTAGATTCTCTCAGTAACACTTTTTCCATCCATTTATTATAAAAGTTTCTTTACAAAAATGTATGCCAGATACAACAAAGGGAAAATTTAAAGATGAAAATTCTTCTTGGAATGACATTTAAAAAAAAAATTATTGCCGAGTTAAGAAATTGTTTTTGGGGAATAAGAAGATTCAAAATGCAACAAACCATCTTTTTTTTAAAAAAAAATAGATACATGATGTTACTTGATATTTTAAAGTTGATTTTCTCCATCTTTAATGAACTATTATTTAGCATATACTCCTTCTAAAAATTTCCAATTTATGATAAGATTTTCCATTCTAAATTTTTCTGTTCCGTTAGTCAGTTTTTTGTCTCCAGCTCTTTAGAAATGCTTCATCATTGAATTGCATCCTTAATCCGGGAAAGAGTAGGGAACGTTCATGTGTACTATTGTTTTAGAATCAATATACATCAGAACAAAACATCTATTCATTTCTTATTTAAAGCAACTTTGCATAATCCTTTTAATACCATATTTATTTCACACATATTCCATACTCAGAACAAGCAGTCTATTTTTCTTTGCAAACATCTCAAATATCGTCTGCACTTAGAACAAAAAACAGACCAATTAAGATATGCGTGTTTCTTCTATAAGGAAAAAAAAATGTTCTTCAGAAAGAAGAAAGAATTGCGGGATTGAAAAAAAAGAATAGAAGGAACAGAATAGAACAAAAAAGTGTATTCTAATATAGCCGTATCTTTACCCACTGGCGCCCTCCTCCTGTGTAACGATATAGCAGAAAGAATCGATACTGTTGGAATCGTAAGAGTTTCGGGAGGAACCGTCATCAGTTGCCGCGTTTTGCCATCGCTGAACTGTCCCGTTTGTGATCGTCTGCTTTTTCGCAGACCGAAATATGCTTGCTCTCTCTCGATACACGTGTTAATTTGTGTCTTTGTGGTTCGTTTCTCACTGTGAATCTATTTTTTTCTGCTCTTTTTTTTTCGCCGTTCAATTAATTTTAGAGCCATGGTTGGCTGGAATGACTATAGCAACAGGTCTGTGGAACTGATTTTGTTTGTGATATTATCTCTAATAGCATTTGGAGAATTTTCAAAAGGTAAGAAATTAAGAAATCGATAGAAAAAACAATTAAAATTTTTCATAATATTTTTTTCATTTTGCAAATCTTGTTTTTTTTTTTTAAATTTTCAGAAAAACTTCTTTTGAAACATTTAAAGTAATTATACTATTTTTGTATGCTGCTAATTTTTCCAAAATTACAAAATTAGATGAGTTATACTTTACATTTATCATACATTTTAAGACATTTTTAAAATAATATTTTACAAATCAAGTCGCAATTTATGTCAAACAGTTTAGTAATTATTTTTTAAGTAAATTGTGATGTTCAATAAGTTTATTTTACGTATTTTAAAATAATATTGAATTAGTAAATTGTAAAGAATATTTTTCTCTGAGTAATCTCATAAAAGCAGAAATCTGATATTCTATTTAATAGTTTCATAATTAGCTGGCTCCGAACAGCTGATCTTGGATCTTAGAAATACTGAACTTTCGAAGGTTTCTGTTCATAAACATACAATAAATCAAATTAATTTTTAATTATTTTGTTGTATTGTTTTGGAAAATTAGAATTTGTCATGTTATATGCTGTAATGTTATTTTTGTGACGAAAAAAATTATTCAATGATTTATATTTTACTAAAGAAATATTTGAAATATTTGCTGCAACAAATTCGGACAAATTATTGTTGAGGGTAATCTGAGCAAAACAGAAAATGTATTTAAATATTAGAAAATAAAATTATTTAATCCGGTCAAACTTAAATCTGTACGTCTTTTGTTTAGTATCGAGCTTCCTACATATTAAACGGTTTTAGTTTTAACCAGTTTCAATTTATTTTCTCGGTTTCACTTATGATTCATCCGTATTTAATGTAAGAAATGTTTAAATTTGAAAATATTAAAAGTAATTATTGTTTATTTCGAAATATGTTTATTTCGAAAGCTTTAATTTTAAGCTTACTGAAAATTATCTTGAAGAAATTAGTATTATTTCGTAACTAAGTTTCGTCTGCTTTGAGATTTTATTTCTCTTCTTTTCTTAAAATGTTTTATTCTGATTGTCACCATTTCATAATCACCAAAAACATTACCTTAAATAACATTTGATTGATATACAATTAACTGAAACATTAATTCTTAAGCCTTGGTGCATTTCGTAAAGAAAAGATTTGTTATCACTGTTAATGACTGTTGAATTGTAATGTTTTATAATTAAGTGGGTAAAATTTAAATTGTCTACTAATTTAATATAAATTGACATTAGTTCCTCATAGAAAATTTCCTTTAATATTTAGTTTTTTTCACTGTCTATCTATAAAAATAGAGTAGAGTGTTTGTGTATGTATTTGTATGTGTATTTGTATATATGTACCTTAAACAATTCTGAAGCTACACTCTCCACGTTTAGTGTATATAAGCTTGCAGATACGGTGGATCTAACTGACGATATATCATGGTATCCAAAAAATGAGAATATATATTATATGTTCGAACTATTAGAAATTTATTACAAAATTTGTTCATTAGGGTTTAGTCTTTTATTGTTTAGAACATGATAGGTACTGAGGTAATAAGTTTTTTCAGGTATTTTCCTTGATGAATATAGAATGGAAAACTGTAGTATATTTTAAATATCATGAGTTGGCGTTGACTAAAGACGCCATGGCAGATGATGCTGAAAGCAGTTAATCTTTATTTTAATTAGATCCTGAAACATATTTTCCTTAATCTAATAATGTAAAGCCTTAGAAATGGGTTAAAAAATAAGAAAAAAACCTTCTTTAGTTGAGACCCGAGTTTTAGCACTAAAAAATTAACTGAAGAAAGACTGCTACTTTTGAAGATATCGTATTCTGAAGAATAAAAGTTTTCATCAATTTCTCAATAATAGTCTTCCAGTCAGATTTTATGTTAGAGGGGCTCACTATGCTCTGTAGTGAACGAAAACTTATGTAGCTTATAATTTTTTATCTCCGCCAAATATGAAAACAAAGTTGAGTTTTTGTTTTCGTTGAGATGCAAGTGAAGTGTAATAAATGTTGACAGTGATTATCCAGAAAATTAGTATTGAAAAGCTCATCGAGAAAATTGCGAACTGATAAGCTCGACTTGAAACTCTTATGCCGTTTTAGAAAATACATATAGTTTTTTTTGTAAGTTTTCAATGCAATTTTTTAAAAATAAATATATGTTTAAATTTTGAAATCGTTTATTTTGGTATTTTACTTAAAATATTTCGTTAAAAATAATCAAACAATGGATTTTCAATATAAGTATAATTACAGGTTTCAAAATGTATTATTGTTTAAAACGAGGTTGGTTTTCTAACTCTCGGAACCAGTGTAACCATACCAAGCCACAGAACAACTTTTAGGAACCAATGTTGAGGGAATCTGGTTAAATTTAACTCCAGACATTCTTTATCAAAAACTTACGAATCTTTACTTTTGAATAGCTTTTGGGAACCAATGTTGAGAGAATCTGGTTAAATTTAACTCCAATCATTCTAATCAAAAACTTACGATTCTTTACTTTTGAATAAATTTTGGGGAATATTTGGAATAACTTTGGGAATAACTTTGAGGGAATCTGGTTAAATTTAACTCCAGACATTCTTTATCAAAAACTTACGTATCTTTACTTTTGAATAACTTTTGGGAATCAATGTTGAGGGAATCTGGTTAAATTTAACTCCAATCATTCTTAATGAAAAACCTGCGATCAGTTTTTAATTCGCCTGATGTTTTTTTTAGTTTGGTATTTCAATGTAGTATAAATTATGCTGAAATGCCTCTTAAAAATCTATTTATTTATTTTTTAAATTGACAGGATTAGAATCCTCTTCAAGATTTTCCCGATATCCGGTGTATCTACACTTTCTTTCTACAATTACATTTTGAAACACCTACAAATAAAAAAAAAAGAATTTTTTTAAATAATATTTTTGTTTAAATGAAATTAAGTTAAATAATTTCAAGTTATGATGTTTTCTTCACTTTTCAATGGATTGCCAAAGTTTTTTCCTCTTTACTCCTGCGACAATTTTATAAATAGATTTGAAAATTTTTTTTTCTTTTAAATTTAATAAAATGTATTTTTGTGATTTTTTTTAATTTAGTTTTGTTTGAATTTAGGCAACATTTTTTTAAGATTAAAAAAAAGTAAGCTCCTTCTACATGCAGAAAAATAAATTCAGGTCTTCTGCAATATCTTCGACGTAATTTTTAATCTCAATTAAAATTTGAGAAAAAAATAACTAAAATAAATTTACATAAATAAAAGAAATAAAAATTAAATATAAGTTCATGAAAAAAGGGAGCTATAAAGTTTTTATAGAAAAAGTTTAAAAATCTGAATTTAGATTTCATCAAATGGCAGAAACAATGATGCAAACGTTTTCCAATGCCCATTAAAAAAAATGGAAAAACTTCACAAAATTTTAATTTTTTTTGGCATTTTGTGGTGAAAAAGGGTAGTTCAATTTTGAAAACCATTTGATTTGTTCTTCCCAAAGTACCTCTCACGTACTGTAGCTTGCGTACCGTTTTAATGTAACATAGCGTACCCTCCTTTGACCTAAGAATCGTGTAATGAAATTCGAACATAAATTGCGATATGATTTTCAAAGATATGAGATATGATTATATTAAAATATATATTTTTAAAAATATTTCGGCTCAATGCCATCGATATTTTCTTCCTTTGTTTAAATGCAAGATAATTTGAAATAATTCTTTCTGTAACATAAAAGATGGAATTAAAATTTATAGATTTTTTTTTAAATTGTTGTTTTTAAGTTCTTAAACAATTGTTTAAAATTAACTTGTTTATTTATTATTTATAGAATGTTCGCTTCCTGAAAAGCGCATACATTTTAAAAACATTAAAAATATAAAATTCTGCTAAACTTAATTGATAATTAGCATATTTAATTATTTTAGGATATTCCATTAAAGTTTCCATTTCGTTAATTAATTTTGCGCTAATGATTTTTCTTTGTTTTTTTAATCATCTCTTAATGCAAACAACAAAACATTTTAATGATTTATAAAGAATCAATTAATAGAAATACTTGTTAATTATGAAAGAAAGAAAATAGATTATCAGTATTCTTTTTAAAGAAATTTATGAAAACAATGCATAAAATTAAATTTTTAGAATGAAAATTATAAATACGCATTTCAAAAAATGTTTAGACATGCAATTCTAATTTCCAATTATTTTAATAATTGTCTGTTTTCCAATTATCTTTATTAGGCATTTTATATAAACAAAGCATTTCCTGCACTATTTATTTTTATTTATGTGAAAAAAAGCTATTTATTGGAACTCAGTCTTAGTTCTCGAAATAAAAAACTTATTTTGAGAGTTAATTTATAATTAATTTCAGACGACTAGGTTAATCTGATGATGGTATTTTATAATCTAGATAAAGTGAAGTAAAAAGGAAAAAGCTTTGAAATTTAAGGTATCGCATTTGATAATGTTACAATTTTATTTAAAAAAGGAAAGAAATCGGATAAATAAGTATTCTATAGAGATATTTTATGGAATGATATAGATTTTTGAAATTTTATTATAGATTTTTGAAATTTTTAGATGCTGGTAGAAGAAACCTGACACGGCAGGGGGCGCTGCGGATTACTAAAGAATCTACAGATTATTTTTTATCTTAGATTTAAAAGAAGGGAGCGAAACGGCTAAAAAGTTGCTTTTAAAAAAACTAAGGGAAAATAAAAAATAAAAAGATTTGTCTACCCTCTTTCAAAAAAGATTAGTGAATTTTTTTTTCCTTTTGAAATCTAACACAAAAAAATAGATTGCTGTATAAACTGCGAATATGAATTTTTCCATTAGCATACTCTGCTATTTTGCGTAAAATGTATTTTTATTTTAAACTAAAAGCTATTAGACAGATATTTTGTCATAGAGAACCGTTATTAAAAAAAATTGAAATATTTTTTTTTAATGAACTGAAAAATTTTTTTTTTAAAAATAATTTTCGGAAAGTTTTTTTTATATTTCAGATTA